AAACTGTATCTCAAAATTTTAAAGAAAGAACAACTTATATATATATGCCAAAAATAAGGGTAACTACTATGAAGGGATAAAATATGACTCTAAAAATGAAAAATAAAAAAAAATTTTTTAAAAAGGGATTGATAAGATGTTGGTTGAAAGAGGGGAAAAGAAAAATTAAAAAACAAAAACAGTTAAAAAATTAACTTTGAAAAACTAATGAATCATGGTAAAAAAGCCATGAATTCTATGTGCAGTATTTCCCTAGCGCTGGAGTTCTCCCATTCTCCTTGATCAGTAAACTTGGTCTTGGCTTGCTGGCTGTTCGTACTGATCTTCTGGGGGAGGGGCCTGTTGCCGTGGTTCCCAAATGTCTTTGCTGGAGGCGAAATTGCCCCGCCCTTGTTGGTCTGGGCTAAGCTAGCTGCTCGGTTTTGCTCTCAGGAGCTTTTGTTCCCTGCAAGCTCTCAGTACAGTTTTGGAGGACCAGAGTGAAAATGGTGGCCTCCCAATCTCCACCCAGAGGAGCTGAGAACTCGGGGCCCCGCTCCTCAGTGCGGCCCCACAGAAAAGCAGTCACTCCCGTCTCCCTGGTCTCCAGCCACAGTCCGTGCTCCCCCGGCCTGTGACCGAGCGTTTCTCTCTGGATCCCGACCCCGTGTGGAGTCTCCAAACCCAGCAGATCCCTGCGGTGCGCTCCCGCACCACTCCTCCCTGGGGAGGAAGGAGAGTCTCCCCAGCTCTGCTGCTTGTTGGGTCCCTGCTGGAGGAGCAGTGGCCCAACTGGGCCGCGGATCAGTTTATGGCAACCCCGAGCTGAGAGCCTGCGCCTTGGCTCCGTCTCTGCAGCCGGCTTCCCCGCTCCGATACCTGGGAGCTCTGCTGCACTCAGGCATCCCCAGTTTTTCTGTGACCCCGCGGGTCCTGAGACCACACTGTCCCGTGAGGGTTCCACCCCCTGCTTAGCCACTGGAGCGATGTCCCTCAGCAGAGCCGACTTCTAAAAGTTCTGATTTTGTGCTCCGCGGCTCTATCACTTGCCAGAAGTGGCCGACGGAGGCCCCCTCCCCCGCCGTCTATCCTCCCGAATATCGCCTCAGATTCACTTCTCCGCACGTCCTACCTTCCAGTAAGTGGTCGTTTCTCTGTTCAGAGAGCTGTTGCTACTCTCTTCTTCAATCTCCTGTTGAGTTCGTAGGTGTTCAGAATGGTTTGATCCCTATGCAGCTGAATTCTTGAGACCAGACAAAACCCAGGTCTCCTACTCCTCCGCCATCTTGCTCCACCCCCCTGCTATGCATTTCTAATTGTCCTGGGGTTGACCAGGGGGCTCCTTCCACGGAGAAAGTCAGCAGGGGACCAGGTGTGACACTGACACCTGTTGCCTGGCACCTGCAGCTGTCAAGTTCCAGAATAATTCTTTTCCTTCCCAGTCAGTGCCCTGAGTCCCCTGTGAATGGCACTGAGTTGTGTACTTCACACATAACAAGAGGTGGCTCTGCCGTCCAGTGGCCAGATCTGTCAGCTATGGGGTCTGTTCGTGCCGTCTGCACACGTCTGAGGACACGTGAAGGTGCTGTGAACTGGAGGCTCTTTCCCAGGCTCCAGGAACCTCATGCAGCCATGCGAGGGCTGAGAGTGACATGTGGCTGCAGCCCGGGCTCCCATCTTACAGGAGACTGACGTCCGTGCGCATGAAGATGGTTTAAAGCTCACACTTACGTACCATCTCTGCCATGGAAGCAAACGGCAGCACCCACATTACTTTGCAACTGAGCTTCTCTTCAGCGAGTTACTCC